TTATCTATCTATCTACCTATCTATCTATCTATCTATCTATCTATTTATCTATCTATCTACCTATCTATCTATCTATCTATCTATCTATCTACTTTTCTGTCTTCGCCCCACTTTTTGTTTCCCCATTCTATTCTGTCCCGCTTCGCGCAGTACACGTTTGCAGCCGTGTTTACGCCCTCGAGTTGCATCCGCGACAAGTGCCTGGCTCTCAAGGACTGTGTCGAAAGAAAGAAAAAGCGAAAACGGACACCGGTGAAAAAAAAGCGCAGAGTAAGCTCGACGCACGGAGAGAGAAGAACGTAACGAAATCGTTAATTGGTTCAGACATGTGTAATTACATAGAGCGTGTACATGGTAGTTGCTTGTAAGGTTCTCTTCTTCTTTTCATTTTTCTTTTTCTTTTTTTCCACTTTTTTTTCTTTCTTTCTGTCTTTTTCTTTTGGTCATCTTGACCTTTTCTTTCAAACAATTCACGAGCTTCTGGGGGATCGGAATCTAATTCGTTCATTGTGTTGGCAGACATATTGTCGTGTGTGGCCACATCACCTACGAATCAGTCTCGCACTTTCTCAAGGACTTTTTGCACGAGGACCGCGAGGACGTTGACGTGGAAGTTGTCTTCTTGCATAGGTATGACCAGCCATACTAATTTTTGACGTCCAGTCCCGTGCGCACTGTACTGATCCCGGCTCAGTTTGGCCCACGAGATCTTGTATAATCGATTCTCTCTTTCCTTAAAATCTTTCTTAAAATTGGTATTCAACGCAGTATGTTTTGTTAATTTTTTATAGGAAATGTCCAGATCTTCAAATTTAAACTTACATTTTATTTTATTAGTTACTTATAGAAAGTCCGCGTAAATACTTAATTTACAGGTTATTATGAAATTTATTTCTTCCGATCATGGATTAATATCACCGCGACGCTGAAATTTAAGGTTAATTCAACGCGATTTTTAAAGAATATCTTCGATTATACAGGTCGTCCGTGACATCCTACGTCCCACCTTCATTTCTCGCATTTTAGACCTAAACCGAGAATTAATATCTTCATTCTTCTTTGTTTTATACGTATAATAACAAGTTTCCGTTTCTCGTTACTGTTTAAATTGAGTATAATGTTACTCGTGCGACCGATTGTTGGTCAATATGAAATTAAGTAAGTCTACTACTGTAATAGTACGCAGTCATTTGTTAAGTGACGTCGATGATGAACAGCACCAGGTGCGATAAGTTTAATTTTTTTGTTTGTATGGTAATAGGGTGAGCGTAGGTCTGTGTAGGTGTCCGACATGAACAAGTTGTTTCGCGGATGAGCGAGCAATGGCGATCAGACTCCATCGATCTAGCGTTTTATGGAACTATCAATATTTTATTGGCGTGACAGTCAATTTTTGGTGTTCCAATTGCCGGACCAGTATCCATAAAAATTCAATAAAATGGAACACCTTTTTTAATAACCACGAGAACATAAAATACAACGTTATTATCTTGTTCGTCCGTTTAATCTGCTTGAGTCGCGTAGGTTTTAATTATTGGGTCGGTCAGTAAGTTTTTTCGTGTTGTTTAACTTTGCTGCGTATTTCAAGCATAACATGATTCGGTCGGAAAATATTCGGAGAACGTAGCAAGGTTAAATTTTTTAATTCCGACTATTAAATTTTCTTAAACTAGCTATTGCCTACGTTGTTCGACAACTTTCTATTACTTTTCAATTTACTTATTTATGTTTAATATTTACTCCGTATTGTAATATAAATTGCAATTTGAACAGAGAAAACAGAAGACTTTTTGATCGACTCAATAAAAGATATAGCAGGGTAAACGTGGGCGATATGTCCAATAACCTTACAAGAATTTCTTTCAATTGCTGTTTAAGATACTCAAATAAATCAGAAAACAAACAGCAGACAAATATTAACTGCACTTCACATATATCCTCTTCAAAATTTTAAATCAGTCATTAAGAAATACTAGAAACACAGTATGAAAAACTGATCTCGCAGGAATATTTTTTCCAAATATTTATAAAAACTTGGTTTTCAAATCAAAGTAACCAATAGTATTCGTCTATTGCTACTTTATAGTCTCAAAAACCGTAAAAAACTTTGAAAATTAAATTACATACTCAGAGAGACTAAACTCACGCTTATCCTGCTACACTACCCCGTTTCCCGTCATCACAGCACAAAGATTAATTTCTAGCACCGAAATAAGCATTCCGTCGTCCACACATGGCAATCAGTGTTAATCGAAAAGGCAGGATCTAGGTCGCTTATCGTGTTTCTTTGAGCGAACCAGGCAGGACGGCTTGAACGCTAAAGAAGAGAATCGAGTTGGTGGAGCATCCGGCGTGGGTGTACGCTTCGCCGTTGCCCGAGACGCGTGGTCTGATCGTCATTGTCGTAAGGAGTGATCTGTGTTTTCAGGAAAGAACCAGATCTCGAATTGGAGGGTCTCCTGAAGAGGCATTACACGACCGTGGAGTTTTTTCAGGGCACCATGATGAATGCCGTGGATCTGGAGCGCGTCAAGGTACCCCCCGAACCCTAGAACAACCACCATACGACACCTCCACCAACCAAACAACCCTCCAAATCAGTTTCGCGGACGCCTCGCGCTTCTTCCCTCCTCGCAGTTCTTTAGGTTACCGCGCGATTATCCCACCAGGCCGTTGATACACGACGCGACGATCCATGTCGATCGATACAGACCATCGTATATATGTATATTATACACACGTCACGTGACAATGCGAAAAAGAACATCCGCACGTCAGCGTATACATATATATGTATTGTATACATATATTTGCCCTTATACTGTGGCTAGTTCGTGGAAACAATCATCAAACGTTTGCCGTTGAATTACCAACGCAAACAAACAAATACCAACGTGAACACGAGCAAACAGAGACGAATATGTATGGGGTGACGCGTTTAAATTCGTCCAATCGAATACCTTCGAAACTATCAATGATATTAAAAAATGTGTCAGGTGGAGGTTCAATGGTTTTAAGGAGGATTAGTTAATATGTGCGAGTTTTATCTATGCGAATACGTAGAAGATCTGAGAGAAACAATTTTGTCTTTTTATTAATGGAACCGTATGTGCTTTCATGCAACCGATGCAGCTCGTAATTTCTCATATAGAAATATTAAAGCATTTATAGAGAAATATCATTAGTTTATAGAATGTCTTAATTTCAATTCCTTAGTATAATCTCGACTGTTTTGAAACAGAGAATTCCTTGGAGTTAAAGGGATTTCTAACGAATACTAATCTACCGAATACAGATTGAATATTGAACTTAAAATGTTTTACAATCTAGTGACTTTTCGCTATAACTGGTTTAGTAGTTTTATATGGGAAATGACTAGTTGCATCGATTAAAGGATTAAACAAATATACAATTCCATTTGAAAAAATGTCGTGTTTCGGTACTCTACACGTTCACGTAGGAAAAATTCATTCCCGTCACACGATATACCCTTGCAAACCATTTACTTTTAGCATGACACATTTGTTAGAATCAATAGCTTCCGAGTTGCTCGAGTAGATCGATTGAAATGAGTCACCGTATACATACACACACGAAACGGTAACTCAAATATTATATTTGTGCCGGCAGTTAGGTGCACACGTAACACGTACTTACTCGAAACAACTCTCTCGACGTCGGAATACAATCTCCACTTAGTTCTCTCACTTTTCTCTGTTTCTCTATTAATTCTTCTCTATTTCGTAACTACTCTTGTTTACGTTTTTGTTTCTCTTCCATCGTTCCGTCTCGCACGGAATCACACGTGCCACGTTTGCGACCGGTAGTATCGGGTATGAAAATTGTTAATCGATCGAGCGTGGATCATGTAACCTTGTAAATACGGTGTAACGAGTTGACTCCGTTCTTCTATTTCTTTTTTTCTTACTCAATTTTCCGGGAACGTCTAATTGCGTGGCACTGTGTAGCATTGTTACATGTAATTCTGTTGCGAGCGAGGTGATTCTTGGGGAATCATTGTGGTGTGATTATGGATGACATCCTAAGGCTCATAGACAAAATAACATTGATCTTGGTTTCGTTTGTGCTTTGTAGAATAATTGCCACTTTTGATCAATAATGTTTTGTGCAATACTTTTCCGAGCAACGAACCGTTTCATTCATGAAAAATCCACGAGAACGATGATGCAGTGTATATATTTGAATTTGTTCCATTATTCGATTGGAATTTAGGAATTTCTGTCCTTGAAGTTGTAAGTACGTGCGTCAAATTGATCTATTTATACGAATTGGATAATAATTTTGCCAACTAAAGAATATTTACCGTAATTAAAATTTGTGATATAATTAATCTCGAGTCAAGAATTCTCTTCCACACTCGCACCAGTCACTCTACAAGAACAGCCTCGCACGCGTTTGGGGTATGTATATAGTACAAACATATATGTACATAATTATATATATATATATATATCACTCACACATTCGTACATAGGTACGAATTCCGTGATACGTATGTACGAATCGTATAATTTTAATATAGTTTAATTATAATGTAGAAAGCAACCGCCTGCGACTGCATGGTATGCTGTAATGAGCTATGGAGCCGAATCAGCGTGCAGTAGAGACTTACTTAGATCTATTATCACATTACTATCTCCTATCATTCCATGGCCTGCCAGGAAGGCCGCGTATTATTTATGAAATTAGAAACGTTAGACAAATAACATGCGGGATTTGAAATTCTAAGCGTAACGAATCTACGACAGATTCAACATAAGGTGCTATTTCGCTGTCTTTGATTTCTTTCTCCCACGACGGGGGCGCTTTATTCATAGACAGCGTTCACTTTAAATTTATAAGTGAGATGTCCGCCGACCATTGTCGGTCCGCTCAGCGGTATCTCGCAAAAGGCGCAGCCGAATACCAGAGGTGAACGTTTTTATAAAAGGACATATCGTTTTGTCGGGCCGATGCCATTTAGGAAACCACCAGATCTCGAGCTAGAGGGACTGTTCAAGCGGCACTTCACCACCGTGGAGTTCTTTCAGGGGACTATCATGAACCCCATTGATCTGCAGCGAGTCAAGGTGAGCCTTCCACACCATCCGCAAAACGAAACTGCAACCTTTATTCCTGTTCCATGAAGTAAGTGTATAACGATCGCGCCGACTAATTTGCGACGGAACTGTGTGTCGTACGATCAAACACCCCTGCAAATACCTTGTCATCGGTACCATCTGAGTAATCATTCGTCCATCGCTCATGCTGTCTCGTTTATGCGGCACCCATGGCAAGATCGTTCGTATTTGTCAATCATTTGATAAGATTCGAGACTTTAGCGGTAGGTACATTGTTTTATGAAATCGCTTCTGTGAACATATCAATTTGTTTACTCTTTAAATGTTACAATTTCGAGATGGCATTGAACAGCAATTTCTCGATCAGTCCTGTTGCTATAAAATCGATAAAGTTGTTAAACAGTTTTGTATTATCCATATAGAAATTGGAGATACGGTATACAATTTGAAATATGGTAAAAATTGGTATTGGAATTAGATCCATAAGTAGATTAAAAGTTGAGTAACCTAAAATGGTACCTTCTTTGTATTTTGATTATTTCTAGTGTATAAATGTCAGTGGTCTAATTTTTATATCTATTGTTTTTTCTTTAAAATAATAATGTTGTCTTGAATTTATCATCGTTCGTATATACGAAGAAGCTAAGTGTGACTACTCGATGAGGAAGGGTTAATAATAATTATAATAATTATAGATTTAAGGAATTACAATTGGATAGTTATTTATTATATTGAATTCTTTCATTTCTCAACTCTGCCCATGATTTCATAAGATGATCCTGTTATTTCTTTTATGGAGAGTTGCTGTTTACCATTAAAAATATTCAGCTTCAATATTAAAGTTTTTATTCGATATAAGTAACAATTAAATAGATAACTTAGATATTTCGAAATCGTACTTGATACAGTGACTTCGTAAAAACGTAGAAAAGTGGTAGTGTCCTCATTTTTTTCAGATTGCCATTAACTTCAAATAATCATAACATACTTTAGTTTCAGAGCAAAAGTAATTGGCTTCTTTGCATCGTATTCTTGAAAATGTATATCGATATTTCCACATCGTTATGATAATCCACGTTACGGTGATTTAAATTTATTTCACAAAGCTATAGGCCATTTTTACTGAATCATCTTTACTTATACAGTACACTGCCATTAATCACGTCATTTTAATTCACCATCATTTATTTTTTCAAGTGTCTTATCTGAATAACAAATCAATCATTTTTATATCTAGAAGTTTCGTTGTTATTATTATATTATATTTTCATTCTTACATTGTTCTTCTCTATTTATTATTACTGTTTCTTTCTCATTAATTATTCAAACGTAAATAACTTTGTAGTTCTCATTAACATCTTCATAAATTGTATACAAATATTATTATTAAACTCCATAACATTCTCTAAATTACCAAATAACACATTACAAAATCGTTAAAATCATGTTTGTCAGTTAAAATTTTTAAATTATTAGTTTTTTGCCTCGAACTTTCAATAACATTTTATCATTCGATTATTAGTTTTTTTTCATTGATTCAACGAAGGAAGTCACTGTATCCTCCAGGACGCTTCGGAATAATCGGAAATGTATCATTGTCATGGCTGCCGTCCGAAACGATCAGAACCGACCGCGACGTTGCGCAAACAGAACGAACCGCTGTTATTCCAGGATGGTTGTTGCTTGTGTGTTCCCCTCTATGCACATTGAGGATGTTTCACGAAACCCCCCTTTGACGCATCTCCCATGCTGTCATACGCTTTCGTGTCTCATCGGTCCGAAATGAATCATCCGAATCAAATCGATTATACATACGATGCATTGTGGTCAGGCCGTGATCAAACGTGTTCGGTGTGTCATGGCGGTACGCCATCGCGAAACTCATATCTCTATACTGTGTCCAACGAGACGAGATATTAAATATAAACAAAACCGTGTGCTAGCTGATCTAAGGAACGACTGAGACAGCTGTGTACAGTGCTGCAAAATGCTTGAATCCTCGAAACTTCAATGATTATCCTTAAAGGTTGAGTTTCGAAGACTTAGTGTTTTATAAAGCTCGAGTCTTTGAAGCTTTAAGGTTCAACCTTAAGGATTGAATTTTGGAAGCTTAGAGTTCTATAAAGCTCAAATCTTCGAAACTTCAAGAGTAAACTTTAAGGCGTGAGTTTTGAAAACTTAGAATTCTATAAAATTGGAATCTTGGAAATTTCGAGACTCAATCTTAAAGGCTGAGTTATGAAGGCTTAGAGTTTCATTAAGCTCGAGTTCTCCAAGTTTCAAGGCTTAACTTTAAAGGCTCAGTTATGAAGGCTTATAACTATTTAGTAATTAACACCTTGAGTCTTCGAGCATAAAGACTCGGGCGTTAAAGAATTCAACTTTTACAGCTCAGGGCTTGAGCCTATAGAGGCCGACCTCTTAATATTCGAGTCGAGGTTTCAAAACTCGAGGATCGGGGTCCATTGTTATAACGTACGTGTCAGCTAATCGTCGTGCTTAGCTGCTGAATGTTTTGTTTTATCTATTAGCTCGTTTCGGTGGACA